AGCTTAAAAGGCTTTTGTCTATACTGATTCCAGATGGGATCTGGACATCGGCAGCCAATGGTTTCTAATCGCCCGCTCACTAGATTTAAGAATGCGCCAGTACGTATGTCATCCGGTACGATGCCGCTGGTGGTGAGCATCTAGGCCTTAAGAACCAGGATAGGAAACATCTCTCCCTCTGGACGAAGAGAGGCGAATCAGCCAAAAATGCTGTCACACTCCGCAGAGGAAAATGCGCAATGTGCTTGCGGTCATCAAGTGAGAAGGCTGCGTACGAGAATCGCACTAACGCGCAGTGCCTCGGTAGAATGGACACTTCTAATATATAAAACTTGACGCAAACGCTATTGCAATATTTCGCATCACCCAAACGGGTTGAAAGGGTTCATTTCAATCCGTCTAGAAAGGCTAGAGCTAACGTACTATGTCCATGGGTTTGGAAAACTATATCGTCACAATGGCGTCTGGCCTTCTCCGGATGCGATAAAAATTACCATCCTCCAGGATTGTCTCCGTACATGAGCAACTCGCAATTAGATCTTCCGAGCCCAGCCTATCTCGTCTAAAGATACGGTCGACGTCAAAACCAAGATTTCAATGGGATACTGTATTCGATACCCGCCGAACACGCTAAAGGCGATTGTTTTCCGCCATACAGCGGAGAAAGAGATAAATCTCTTAGTCGCTGAGCGATTCCACGGTAATCCCGAATGTTTCATATTTAAGCATGTCTGCTTGCCTATTAGCTAATCGATATGAAGAGTCAGGAATTTATGCAAGGGCGTCCAAAAAACTGAATACTTCAATAAGAAAATGTCGAGTCTTACTATGCCGCTTTGCACCTATTTAAAACCTTAGTTCTGTTGTACGTCATTGATGTCGATGCCAATGAGATCAAGCTTTAACGTAAAGCATCGATAGATGGATTTCGCAGTTTGTTGATCGCTGTTACATCTTAGCTTTGTAAAGCCGTGGAATGTCTGATAAATCGAAGGGGCGTCGTGCAGTTGTGTATGTCGCACGGTTTCCGAAACAAGTTGACAATGTGCTAGACATCAAAGATGCTGAATCCGAATACAACAATTGGCGTTTTGCGAGAAGAGTATCCCGCAGGCTCTATTTAACTTTTAAGTAGAGCTTGAGGATTCTGATAGCGCGGAATGCTGTCTCGTCCTGGTCCTGTAATTAAGATACGACCTCATCGTCGATATGGCGTGACTGAAATGCCACAATTTATGAATCGACTGGAATTCAAAAAATCATGCGCTACGCCCCCCTCTATTGGCGGTGAGTTATTGAGTTGAAAATCTGTCTCTGCCGGAAGTAAAAACGTCTTTGGCGCAAGCATGAAGCTGCAATATTTCTTTTTTAGGCATTGAAACTGTCTAAAATTGATTGTGATGGTAAGGGGCTAGAAGGCAAAACCGGCGGTAAGCCGCGGGCTTAGGATTAGACAAAACTGGGATAATTGTATGTGGCAGCTTTCCACAGTGTATCCATGTAGAGACGGAAAGGGAAACTGTATGTCGGGATGCAGCGGAGCTGCCGTAGCTCTTTGCTTAGAGGATAGCTTACTTAAGGCCACCGACCGTCAATGTAAAATAGAACCAGTACGAGTGTGGCGGATCGCAATCCGCTATCTCTAAGAATACCTTAAACCTTAATCCAAGGCAAATGTACTATTTGAAACTTTATTCATTTGTTTTGATTGCGGTAGAGCCGCCTATATCTAAAAGCTTAGGCTTTCCCGATTGAATTGAAAAAAACCTAATTGATAAGGATAACTACTGGCAGTCCTGCCACGTAATGGCTTCATGTTACGGTGTAGCCACACCGTGTGTGTTTACACCGACTTTTGTAATCCACAGCTTTGTACGGTCACACCATCTTGTGTGACCCACCCTTTCATACCTGGGTACGTGTACGGGATCTATGGCGGGACGATTAGAGACAGCTATAAGATGTTCTTCAGTGGCGACTTGCTGTTGCAATCTCGCGTCTCATAGCTTTAAAAGCCAGTTTCAGCGAAGTGGACGTCCGCTTAAAGGGTTGAATCAAGCTTGACTATGCAAAACCCAAGCACGTCGCGGACAGCATGTGACAGCTTATAACCTCAAGATCTTGCCTTGAGGCAAGCTAAACGTTTTGGCCATGAGTCCTCCGTTTTACTGATCCTATCGGGATCCAAGAAAGTCGAAAGCTTATTGCGCAGGTAATTTAATCATGCGGACAGAATTCGAACATATCATATTCCAGCCTTGCAGAGATTTCATATTTTTCACGACTCGGTCTTCGGATCGACTAGCGAGTGTTACCGAGTGCAACAAGGTCGCTGTGCACTGAGCACGAAGGAGGCTTTTACTCTCATTATCGGCGTTATCAAAAACACTGATGATGGATTCGTGCGCTTCCACCAGGAGCGAGACTGAGAGCCTCTGACATGATTCACGCTGTCAATTCGCTTTGCTACGAACGTTGCATTTTTCTGTCGAGCTAATATCATATATATGTTGACTATATCTCACAACAAAAGCGCCGACGTGGCTACGACCTTATCTTTATAAATAGAGAGAATAAAAAAAATGCCTTAACTTTTGCCATATATAAG